TTTCTCTTCTTATCCTCTCCCCACCGCTCTTTCTCTCTCTTTCTCTCCCCCCTTCACCCCCCACAATTGGATATTGGTAAACATAGTAATGCTTTCCACAAGGTTCAGTTTTGGCCTTCTCTTTCGGATCTGCCAAATCCATTGTAGAATTTTCCTAAACAAAGGTTGTTCTCTCCATAAAAGAAATTCTACCACTAGCTTCAAAATAATTATTTGTTCTTACCTATTACGTATGTGATATGTAAACATAAAGAAAAAAAAGTAAAATTATTTTTTGGTGATGGGTTTAGGAATTTTTCTTTTTTTTCCCATTAATTTGTATTTTCCAGTTATAAATTGCCTTTATAATAAGTTATTTTTATGTTCAATAAAAAAGTACATACAGCCCTTTATTTTTTTATTTATTTATTTTTTAACGTTTGTTTATTTTTTTGGGACAGAGAGAGACAGAGCTTGAACGGGGGAGGGGCAGAGAGAGAGGGAGACACAGAATCGGAAACAGGCTCCAGGCTCTGAGCCATCAGCCCAGAGCCTGACGCGGGGCTCGAACTCACGGACCGCTTGATCGTGACCTGGCTGAAGTCGGCCGCTTAACCGACTGCGCCACCCAGGCGCCCCAGCCCTTTAGAAGTTAAATTGGACAGTATCTCAAATTGTATCTTAAATTATGCATACTTTTTGACTTACCAGCTATAACCAGGTAGTAAGATACTAGTTTCTTCATCCCCTTCTCAACATTTAAAAAAAAACATTTGCTCTTCTCACATACAAAAAATTGTGTTTATTTTGTGAAAATTTTTATTTATATTTCTTTGTTTTGGTTGTATGCTGGTAAGTCTGAACATTCTAAAAATGTAATGATTAGCTATTAGTATTGCTTCTTGTATAGGTTCTAGAGTTGTAGGTACATTTACCATTTATTATATTTCAAAATTATTTCCTTCTTCAGATCCCACTGTCCCCACCCTATTTTATTTAGACTCCCCTCTTCCCTCAAAATTTTTGGTTTTTTTCTTCTTTCTTTCTCTCTCTTTTTCTTTTTTAGCTTTATGCCTGTTGTGTTTCTGCTTTTTCCTTGGTTTGGAAATCTCTCCCACAATCTTTGCCTTTGAAATGTCTACCTACTTGGTACAACACATGGGATTATAATAATCATTGTAATAACTCTCTCATAGTAGCACTACATCCTTCCATGTTTTGTTCATCATCTTCATAGCTATCTTAAACCTGCCATTTAGATTCAAAGCTTCTTGAAGGCAAGAACCATGTTTTCCATACCTTATTTAAGTCGCCTTGCGTATAAAAGGTTCCTAACAAATATCTTTGGTCTTTTTTACTGGTAAAATCCTTTCATTATGTTGTGCCTCAGAATTATCATTATCCACAAACATTTGTCAAGCATCTGGCAGGGACATGGAGTATAGCAGTAGGTAATGTAGAGGTACTGGATAGAATAAGATACAGTTCCTCTAAGATCTGTGATCTCCTACTACCCTAGGATTAGTTCTACAGTCTTTAAATGGAAATCATCACATTGTTTTGTAAATTTAGAGCCAAAATAATTAGCAAACCATGGGCACAGGATAACATGGGATGTATGTGCTGTTTGATTTTTAAAATATTTTTCAATATGTATTCATCTTTGAGAGAGAGAGAGACAGAGAATGAGTGGGGAGGGACAGAGAGGGAGACAAAGAATCCAAAGCAGGCTCCAGGCTCTGAGCTGTCAGCACAGAGCCCAATGTGGGTATCAAACCCACAAACTGTGAGATCATGACCTGATCTCAACCTGAAGTTGGACCCTTAACCGACTGAGCCACCCAGGCACCCCGATGACTATTTAAATAGTAGGTGCTATAGGACTTCAGAGAAAGGAGTAAGCACTTTTGTGCTGGGCCAGTAGAGGACCTTACTACAACTTCTGGACCTTGAAACAAGGATAGACTCTAGGTCAGCCTGGAGGAGTGGAGAGGGCCTCCTGAGTGTGCAGAGGAGTAATGGAATGTGTTGAGTAAATAGGCTGCTATAGGATAAATAATCTGCTGTAGGTCAGACTATTTCTAGGCAGCTGTTCTAATCTTGGCATTTTTAGTAATCCTGTTAAACAGATGAATGATTGTAGTGTGCCCTACCTATTTTCTTAGTGTTCTGGAACTTTTACTAATTCGTATTCCTTAGGGTTCTTGGAGTGAAGAGAAGGAAGTTGGTGGTGGGGAGTAGGAAAGTTCATCCATGGACCCCTCTTTGAATTTCAAATTTTCTCATTGTTGAAGGATTTTATGTTGTGGTAAGTAAGGATATTCTGAGCATAGAACATTACCAATTATTTCATCCTTTGGTTTGTCATCACAGACTAGATGAGACAATACAGGCAATTGCCAATGGAACCTTGAACCAACCACTCACCAAATTGGATAGATCTTCTGACGAGCCTTTGGGAGTTCTGGTGAATCCCAACCTGTACCAGTCCCCTCCCCAGGTTAGTGGACCTTTGCTGTAACTGGTAATGAGAGGAGTTTGGGCCCCGATATTTCTCCTTTCAAGTGTGCCTCTTTCATAGGCTTTAGATATCAGTGTGCTCTTTCACACACCCACCGACCTTATTTTCTGTCCCCAGTTTTTTCCATTTTTTTGCAATACTTCTTACAAGTTGGCCTGCATTATCTTCTGAGTATTTCCCAAGAGAGGGTTTTGTTAAATAAGAAATTGAGACAATAATCCCATGGTTCTTTTGTTGATGTTTTCTCTACCTTTTATAGAATATGGGTAGTCCCATAGAGTGGTGTTTTAAATTAATACGTTCATTGTTGTCATTCATTTTTCCATCATATCATTGAGCATCTATTATGTGCATTCATAATAGTAAGTGACAAACTGTATGTTGCTTCTATCCTCAAAGAACTCATAGACTAGTAGGAAGAAAAGAATCACATAAGCAGTTCTAATACAAATAGAGATATAAATAAAGTATGGTGGAAACCCAGAGAAGGGAAGTACCACTTCCAGTTGAGAATAAAAGAAGCTTTAATAGGGAAGCTACATTCATTAAAAGGAAATATCCAAGAAAATGGGTGTTTGGGGATGGTGGGGAAAAAAACATTCCAAGCAGACTGAACTGTAGGAATAAAGCATGGGTACATGAAAGCATGGCCTGTATATTTATGGAAAAATGAATGTAGGCTGCATAGATAGTGGTTATCAAAGGGATTATCCTGAGAAACAGACTAAGGTTAGGTAGGTAGAACCAAATCACTAAAATGTTTAAATGTTTAGCAATTTTTCATATTTTTATTTTGTATATAAATGTGTGCCATAGAAAGTTCTTCCGCAAAGAGATGCAGTCAGAGCAGTGCTTTAAACAGCCTAACTGTAGGTACTTGTTCAGCACTTTACACATGCCAGCTTCTTTGCCAGGTGCTAGAAAATTAAAAGGTAAAGGCCCAGCTCCTATCCTTAAAGACTTAGTGGGGAAACATGTTTGAATACAAATAATTTGAATTCCTTAAGATAGTTTCATATAATACTATATGTTAATTCTACTTCAATTAAAAAAAAGTGCAATGATAGACACATGTTGTGCATAGAGTAGGACTTTAGGAAAGTGTTCATAAACACTCTAGGAGTCACAAAAGAAATAGTGTTTGAGAGAAGACTTACAGGATGAATAACAATTTCCAATGAGACAAATCTAGGGAGGAAATTCCAGGAAATTCATGTACAAAGGTTCAGCAGTTTAGGAGTATTGTAGGTTTGGTAGAACCAGAGGTTAAGTATTGTTAGAAGCTAAGATGAAAAAAAAAGTTGAGATGGACTAGTGGGTGTATTAGTTTCCTAGGGCAACCATAACAAAGTCTCACAACTAGTTGGCTTAAGACAATAGGAATTTATTCTCTCACAGTTCCTTAACACCAAAATCAAGACGTTGGCAGGCCCAGACATTCCCCGCAAAGGCTCTATAGGACAATGCTTCCTTGCCTATTTGAGCTTCTCCTGGCCCCAGGCATCCCTTGGTTTATAGCGGGTTCATTGAAATGTCTGCCTTTGTCTTCACATGGTCTTCTTCCCTGTTTTTGTCTCTCTATGTGTTCTTTTTTTTTCATAAGGACAGCAGTCATTGGATTTGGGGTCCACCCTAACCCAGTATGACCTAATCTTAATTTGATTACATCTGCAAAACTATTTCCACATAAGGTCACTTTCACGGGTTCTGGGTAGATGTAAATTTTAGGGGGGGATACTACTCAACCCAGTACAGTAGGCAACATCTTACCATGAAAGGCCTTATGTCTCATGCTAAGGAGTTTGGTTTTATTTCAAAGTAGGCAAAGAGAAGTCCTTAAAGAATTTTAGTAGAAGATTGGCATGACTTCCATGCCTGTATAGAGATTCGAGGGAGGAGTAAGACTAAAGCAGGGAATTTGCTAAGAAGGTTATTGCAGTAGTGTAGTGGGGAGCTGATGAGGGCCCAGGTTAGTGTAGTAACACTAGTAGGACAGTAGAGAGTTACTTAAAGGCTAAAAATGTGGATGAGACCAGTTAGCAGGCTCTGTAATAATATTAGTGAAAGATAAGAGGTTAATTTGAGAAAGTGGATGTGGGAATAGAGAAACAGGTAATATAAACTATAACTGTAGTAGAGATAAAACAGTGAATGTGGACCTCAGAATTGTTCAAGTACCAACATGTTTATGAAATCACTTATTTCCCCTGTAATGGATGAGTCCTTCCTCTGTATTCCCAGTTAAGGGCTTCTATCCCCAGGTAGTATTTACTTAATTCTGCTTTATATTTTGGTTAGCTATTTATGTGTTTTTCTTCTACTAGGATCATAAGTGCCTTGAAAGAAAGAACTGTACCCTTTTTATACTTGATGTGCTTTTCACATGATCAAGTACTGAATAAATGTTTGTGTTTTTTTAAGATACGAAGCAGTTGATTAGAGTCATAAAATTATATTACATTAAGATTCTTTTTTTTTTAAATTTTTTTTTCAACGTTTTTTATTTATTTTTGGGACAGAGAGAGACAGAGCATGAACGGGGGAGGGGCAGAGAGAGAGGGAGACACAGAATCGGAAACAGGCTCCAGGCTCCGAGCCATCAGCCCAGAGCCTGACGCGGGGCTCGAACTCACAGACCGCGAGATCGTGACCTGGCTGAAGTCGGACGCCTAACCGACTGCGCCACCCAGGCGCCCCACATTAAGATTCTTAAAGATCAATTTAGTCCAACCCCATCATTTTATAATTGAGAAAACTGAAACTTTTAGAGGTTAAATGATTGCTTAGAGTCTCTAAACTACCATTCTAGTTTTTCCCCCTATAAATTATCAAACAAGTCAAAAAATTAAGACAACTAACCAAAAACTTCATCTTAATAAAGACCTTTTTTTTTTTTTTTTTTTTTTTTAAATTTTGAAGACTTTCAGTCTTCTTGTTCTGGAACAAACACGAATCTTTGTCATTCTGTGACAGAACTGCCAGGACACATCAGTTTTCTATATTACCACTGTCCTATAATTTTCTCTTCTTTTCATGTAATGGGGGGCTTGTTTCAGTAATTCTCCATCCTTTCTGTAAAAGACAGGTTGTTCCTTTCAGGGTAAGAGAGTATGTCTTGCATCCAACAATCATAACTACTGCCCCCGATAGCATCTGATTGGCTTTTTCACAGTCCCAGCATGTGACTCTGCCTTTAAGCACATGAAAGGTGTGTGGACCAAAATTTGGAACCTTCATTTAATGCAATTATGTTGGGAAATTGTCCAGAATGGATTATGGATCATTAATAAGTTTACAGTAGAAGTAATTACAGACCTTATACCTGGTCTGCTTGTTGTATTTTTGCTGGAATTAGGAATCTACATATGGAGATTTCAGCATTCTAATTATCTTTTAAGATAGGACCTTGTTATCATATCTACATCTCCTTCTGAATTTATACCTACACCTTTTATGTCCTTGTTTCAAACAAAGGTGGGATAAACTTTAAGAAAATGTTCCCAGTATGATTTCCTCATTGTTAGCAGTCATCTCATTTTGTATACCTACCCCAGGTTCTTCCCTTGTCAGACAGAACTGTATGTTTGGTTTCTTTTTTGTGTAGTGGATAGACCAGACAGGTGCAGCCTCACAGAAGAAGGCTTTCCATTCAGGAGGATCGGAACTAGAATTGAACTCCTATCGGCACCAGTTGCGAATCCAGGACCAAGAATTTCAGGAAGGCTTTGATGGTGGCTGGTGCCTCTCTATGCATCAGCCCTGGGCTTCTCTGCTTGTCAGAGGGATCAAAAGGTAAGGACGGAAATGAATCTTGCCAGTGGAAGATTTTACAGTGACATAAACTTGATTTAGAATTATGGATTAGAATTCATTTTCCCCAATATAGTGATGATTTATAATACTCTTCAGCACATAGAAGTTTAAGCAGTATATTCATGTTACTGATTTGGTAGTAGTGTTTTTACTGAATAGCTTAAAAAAACCCTGAGGTTAGAAAGGCTAAGGATCCTAGTCTAAAAAAAGAATAAAATACCAGTTTTTCCATCTTCAGAAGGAAGTCTCTTGACAAAACTTCTCTTGGCTTTGCCTTTGGAATATAGTATTCAGCAACATTAATGGTTTGATCTTATTTGAAATGCAGTTTTTATGGCTATTTATTAATTTTTTTAAGACAACAGCCCAACTGTGTTTTTTTCTTTCATATATCTATGTACTAATCTGACTAATCATATGAAAAACTACTTGTCTAGAAAAATGGGGGATTTAAGAGTTAAGTTGCTTTATTACAAGGTTGAGTGGTTGTACCTATTCATGATGGTTAGAACTTAATGTTCTATGGTTTCATGTTTCTTCTCAATTCAATTTTATTTTATTTTTTAATTTTTTTATTAAAAATTTTTTTTAAGGTTTGTTTATTTTTGAGAAAGACAGAGTGTGAACCAGGGAGGGACAGAGAGAGAGAGAGAGAGAGAGGGACACACAGAATCTGAAGCAGGCTCCAGCCTCTGAGCTTCAGTGTAGGACCCTATCCCACAAACTGTGAGATCATAACCTGAGCTGAAGTCAGACACTTAACTGACTGAGCCACCCAGGTGCCCCTATTTTATTTTAAGTTTTTTATTTATTTTTGAGAGAGCTCAAGTGGGGGAGGGGCAGAGAGAAGGACAGAGGATCTGAAGCAGGCTCTGCACTGACAACAGCAAGCTGGATGTGGGGCTTGAACTCAGGAACCATGAGATCATGACCTGAGCTAAAGTTGGACGTTCAACCAACTAAGCCACCCAGGTGCCCCGCTTCTCAATTCAATTTTAAAAAATATTTTTTTCAGTGCATCTGGCTGGCTCAGTTGGTAGAGCATGTGACTCTTGATCTTGGGGTTGTAAGTTAGAGCCCCACGTTGGGTATAAAGTTACTTAAAAATAAAATCTTTAAAAAAAATAAAAAAATAGTTTGCTTTTATAGATATAAATAGAAAATTGGAAAATACGGTGAAGTAGCTAGAAAGAGAAAGATCTCCTATAATCCCACCACTTAGAAACACCTACTTTTAGAATTTTAGAGGGCTTATTTATATTTATCTTCCTGTGCTGTTATATAGTAAGGTAATAAAATATATTTAGTATTTTATTTCTTTCACTTATCATTACAACATACTCGCTTTCTCCCTTTTTTTCCAGTTTTATTACACTTTAATTAACAAATAACATTGTATTAGTTTAAGTTATACAACATAATGATTTGATATATGTATATATTTTTAAATGGCTGCCTCAGTAAGTTTAGTTAATATCCTTTACCTCACATAGTCACAAATTTTTTGTTTCTTGTTGTGAGAACTTTTAAGATCTATTCTCTTAGCAGCTTTTAAATATACAGCACAGTATTGTTAACTATAGTCACCATGCTGTACATTACTTCCCCAGGACTTATCTAATACCTCAGTTTTGAGTATTTTTACCCATTTACCTCTGGCAACCACCACTTTTTTCTCTCTATGAGTTTGTTTTTTTTCAGATTCTGCATATAAGTGAGATCATACAGTATTTGTCTTTTTTGTCTGATTTGGCACAATGCCATCAAGGTCTGTTGTAAATACAATGGCAGGATTTCCTTTATTTTTATGGCTGAATAATATTCCATTATGTATATATACCACATTTTCTTGATCCATTCATCCATCAGTGGGCATTTGGTTGTTTCCATATCTTGGCTATTATGAATAATATTGCAGTGAATTTGAGGGTGCAGATATCTTTTTGTTCCTTTTTATTTTATCTATTAGAATTTACTATGCCTGAGAGTGTCCTAACTCATAACAGTAGTAATATACTTAAATAAATTTTTACAGTTCTAAAAGCAGCAGTAGCTCTATAAAATAGATAAGGCCAGTATTATTACAGTCTTGCACAAATGACACTTACGTAAGGACACTTTATAGATAAAGTAGCTTTCTCTGAATTAAAAGCTAGTTAGTGGCAGAGATGGAACTTGAGTTCAAGTTTTTAGTGGTTTTTTCCAGTCTTACTGTGTAAGTTTCAGTCATTTGTCTTCTGAAAGAAAATTTTTTATTGGCATTTAGTATCAATCATTTCTACGTTGGTGTATTCATTATTAGCTGTGATTTCCTTCTTTCATTACGGTGCATTGTCATTTTTCTCCCTTCTTGAAGGTTAGGTCTTCTTGCTTTGGTTTGTAATTGCTTTTTAGTTCATGTGTGTAATGCCATTAGAACAAATGCATGTGAATCTGCTTCTGCTCCAGGGCAACTAGACCCTCAGGTATCTGTTCTTACTCAGTTTTCTACAATTTGGGTGTCTTTTCCCTCTTCCAAAGCAGAAAACTAAACAGCTCGCTTTCTGCTGAGAGAATCAGAATGTTTACATTTCTCTCCTATTTTGGATCTATATTCTTCAGATTTTGTTACTGAAAAGAACAGATGAGAAACATCCAGCTCACAATCACTAATCCCACAAATAAAATGAATGATTCTGCCACATTTGTGAGACCATTTTCCCAATAACCCTTCAGATTATTTGGTGTGGAGGGAAGAATGATACTGATTAGTTCTTCATTTTTTGATCACCTGCTATGTATGTGCCTGGCACTATTTCAGTTCATCTATATTGGAAAATGAAGGATATGAGAAATTCCCTATTTCCCATTGTAAGAATAGTGTAATAGGAGTATATTATCAAGGTATTTTATTTGATTGGAACTAAAAGAGAAACATCCTTTTTTTTCTTCTTTTCACTTATTTATTTTTTGAGTATAGTGGACACACAATGTTACATTAGTTGCAGGTAGACAGCTTAGTGATTTGACAAGTTTATATACATTATGCTGTGTTCACCATAAGTATAGCTACCATCTGTCCCATTACATTGCTATTATAATATCATTTTATTCGTTATGCTGTGCTTTTTATTACCGTGACTTAACTCATTCTATAACTGGAGTCCTGTATCTCTCTTTCTCCTTCACTCATTTTGCCCAACCTCCCATCCCCCAGGAATATCTTTTTGTAATCCTTGGAGAGTAATTAAGTTCTCTTGGATGCATTGTTATTCCACCTAAAGATTCTTTCAAACTAGTCAAGTTGTTTAATTATTTACAAAGAACATAATCCTTTATAAAATACTTAGAAAATATAAATGAATATGGTTGCAATTTAAAGAGTGAAGATGATAAACATTTTTATTTAAATTCTATAAAGTGACAACTATAAAAGTACTATTCTTAGAGATTTGTGTGTTGGTGAAGATTTTCCTGTTAGGTTAGAAAACGATTAACAAATCTTCCAAGAAAAAGTTAGCCCGTGACTCAAAGAACATCAAGGATTTCCTTTGTGTGGGACAGTTTGGATGCCTTAAAAGTGTAAGATTTAAATGGTGGAAGTCACAAGGCTAGTGAAAGATACAAGTCTGACTTACAGAGAAGGAGTTAAAAATAGGACCTGAAAGAGATCATTGTCTTTATTTTATTTATTTATTTATTTATTTATTTATTTATTTATTTATTTATTTATTTATTTTTTCAACGTTTATTTATTTTTGGGACAGAGAGAGACAGAGCATGAACGGGGGAGGGGCAGAGAGAGAGAGGGAGACACAGAATCGGAAACAGGCTCCAGGCTCTGAGCCATCAGCCCAGAGCCTGACGCGGGGCTCGAACTCATGGACCGCGAGATCGTGACCTGGCTGAAGTCGGACGCTTAAGACTGCGCCACCCAGGCGCCCCGAGATCATTGTCTTTAATCTGATGATAGGAAAAGCTAGAGAACAGGGTTCATACTCCATTTAAGGGTATTGTGTTATAATTATGTTTTTCACACAAAATACCCCTCTTTGTCAGATATCTTCTATAGATCTCTTGGTTTAGCTGGGTGATTTGCTATATTAGATGAGATCCTGTGGGACACTAGAATTTAGATCCTTTCTACTAAATTTGTAATTTTTTTAAGGGTGGAGGGCAGAAGTTGGTACACTCCTCACAGAGGACGTCTTTGGATAGCAGCCACAGCCAAAAGACCCTCCCCTCAAGAAGTCTCAGAACTCCAGACTACATATCGTCTTCTTCGTGGGAAAGGTGACAGACATATATTCTCCATTCAGTATTACTTGATGGAAAGGAAAGAAGTTCATCTTCTTTCACCCCCTTCCTCCTCTGACTTTTTTTTTTTTGGGGGGGGGGGGGAGAGGGAAGTAGATGAGAGGGACTTTAATCTTTGTGTACGTTTGTTTGTTTAGCAGCAAACCTGGGCAGATGTTCAAAGCATTCATTCATCAAACAGTGCAAATAAAAATATCAGTTCCCAGGGCGTATGACTGGCTCAGTCAGTTAAGCATCTGACTCTTGATTTCAGCTCAGGTCATGATCTCACCATTCGTGGGTTCAGCCCCCACGTCGGGCTCTGCTCTGGCAGCGACTAGCCTGCTTGGCATTCTTTCTGTCTCTCCCTTTCTCTCTGCCCTCCCTTGCTCCCACCTGCTGTCTCCTCTCTTTCAAAATAAATAAATAAACATTAAAAAATATGCTTATCAGTTCCCAAGACCAGAAATCAACCATCCTGTTTTAACTTAATATAAGAAAATTTTCTTTTTTAAAAAAATTTTGACTGTGAGAGTATAATGACTTTTATAAACTCTGGGATCTTTAGATTGGGAAGAACAACCACAATAAGAATTTTTTGAGGGGACTGACCCAAATAAACATCTGCTATGGGATTTGGACAGGTCAGAGTTGGTTGACTTAACCATTATATTTTGGGAATTACCCCCAAGCACATCATATTTGGATCCAAAAAAACTGTTTCTGACTCTTAGATGTCTTGTTTTCCTTCCTCTTATCTAACTCATACACTTGTTTTGAAGGTAGAATGAGAGGATGATGATAGAACTACCTTTAAAAGTTTTAAGGAAACCAAAACTTGAGGAATCAAAGGTGCTTGTTTCCTTAAAAGCACAATGTTTTGACTGATATGACTAGCTTGTTTTATTTTTTTTTTTTAAATTTTTTTTTTCAACGTTTATTTATTTTTGGGACAGAGAGAGACAGAGCATGAACGGGGGAGGGGCAGAGAGAGAGGGAGACACAGAATCGGAAACAGGCTCCAGGCTCCGAGCCATCAGCCCAGAGCCCGACGCGGGGCTCGAACTCACGGACCGCGAGATCGTGACCTGGCTGAAGCCGGACGCTTAACCGGCTGCGCCACCCAGGCGCCCCATGATTAGCTTGTTTTAAATTTATGTTCTGTCATTCTTTTTTTTTTTTTTTCCTCTCTCTCTCTCCCCCTGTGTTCTGTCATTCTTAAATGTTTTACTACACTTTTTGGTTTTTCTCTTCACAGCTGTAGCTTGTTTCCAAAACCCATTGCCCCCAAACTCCAGGTTAATCCAATTGAGTATAGGTGGAATGATTTTTTTTGGAGTGAAGTTGTAGGGTCCTTGAACTTTTTTTGGAGTGAAGTTGTAGGGTCCTTGAACTTTGATGGTGTAAGGGTAATTTTTTTTTATAGCTTAGAATGTAGATAGTGGACTATGCCAGACACTCACTAAATTTGTTGCTAAAATGCAAACACTTGTGCTAAATAAAAACCTCATTGTTTTTCTGTGTCTACAGTAGGTAATAGAGATAGTGATTTGTTCAGAATTGGAAACAGATTTGTGAGTTTCAGGGGAACAAAAAGGAGATATAGCTGATGCTTCTCTTATTCTTGATTCAGATGTGGAATTTCCCAACGACTATCCATCAGGTTGTCTTCTGGGCTGTGTGGACCTCATTGACTGCTTGTCCCAGAAGCAGTTTAAGGAACAGGTGGGTAAAGTAAACTTCTCTTGGACACATGCTTAGTTTGCCACCATAATTGACTTGTAAATCCTTCAATACAGAATATCATGCTATCATAGTAAGGTGATAGCAACTGAATTTAGACGTGTGAGGATAATCTTTTCATAGGGAAATACTGGACAGATACAAGACCAGTGCAGAAACAGAAAAACTAGTGATTGTTCTGGTTTCTAATACATGTACATTTCTGCATAAAAAGCTATTTCCCCGGTCAAGCTAACAAATAAAGGGTCCTCACCTTTCATAAAACTTTGCTGCTTTTGGTAAAGATACCCTCCATTATCCTTTGAATTATTTCAATTAGGTGGTGAGGATGATAGGATTTGTTATTATTGTGGAAGATTTGGTTCAAGCCAGAGAATTCATGATAGGCAAGTAAGTTTGAATTCTGATTTCTGATTGCCTGGACTGTGCCATATTTGGGGAGTGTATATGCGAGGGAGTATGTGCACACATGTGTAGGTATGTATTTTTATTTCTTTTGATCATTGAAGGTTGGACTGACATAACTAGATTTCATTTTTGAACAGCAGAGGGAGCCTAAAGACTTTAGCTTAATTGGAGAACGCCTGAAATTTTAGAGCTGTATGTTTTGTTTTTTTTTTCAGCGTTTATTTATTTTTGGGACAGAGAGAGACAGAGCATGAACGGGGGAGGGGCAGAGAGAGAAGGAGACACGGAATCGGAAACAGGCTCCAGGCTCTGAGCCATCAGCCCAGAGCCCGACGCGGGGCTCAAACTCACGGACCGCGAGATCGAGACCTGGCTGAAGTCGGACGCCAACCGACTGCGCCACCCAGGCGCCCCTAGAGCTGTATGTTTAGACTCAGACTAGCAGAATCCAAAATGGCAAAGTCTATCCTTGAAGCCTGTAGAGTCTTACCTAACAGTATGGTTTTCCTGTACTTTCAACAATTGCCTTAGGCAACCACTGTACTTAGGAAAATGTTTTTCAGCTTAATTTTTCTCAGTAAACTCTTTCTTTTCCAGATCTATTTGCCTTTTGATAACATTATTACTGTTGTAAAAACTCCTATTAGGGAGCCTGGGTGGTTCACTCAGTTGAGCGTCTGACTCTTGATTTTGGCTTAGGTCATGATCTCGCAGTTTGTGGGCTTGAGCCCCGCATCAGGCTCTGCTCTGATGGGGTTCTGCGCTGGCAGTGTAGATCCTGCTTGGGATTTCTTTCCTGTCTCTGCCCCTCTCCTGCTTGTGAGCTCATGCAACGCACACGCTCTCTCTCTCTCTCTCTCTCTTTCTAAATAAGTAAATAAATAGATAACTTAAAAAACCAACCTGATCCTATCTATCTTACCCTCTCTACCCTTTCCTCACAGATTTTAGCCAGTAATTATCCCTCTAGTTTTCTTTCGTTTTCTTGTGGATTGCCTCCTTAGCTCTTCTCTGATTACTTTATGTATAGGAGTACAATGCATGCATTTTGGCATGGATTTGACCCCTAGCCTTTTGTTCTGAACCTTACTACCTAATTCAGACCTAGGCAAAACCATGGACATGTGGAGACCCTTTTTTCCACACCGTTGTACCTGTGCTTCCATGGGCCTTTTGCCCATTTCCCCAGTATCTTCTTTCCTCTCTTTCTCTCCCCTTTTTTTTTTCAGTCTAGAAGTAACAGTTATAAAAATTGCTTACATTGGTGTAGGCCTTATAGTTTTAAAGACTGTCACAGGCATTAATAGCTTAGGATGAATTAATATATTATTAGTATATTTTCTTCATAGGATATCTGCATTCTTAAAGGGAAATCAGGCTACCTGGTGGCTCAGTTGGTTGAGCGTCCAGCTCTTGGTTTGAGCTCAGGTCATGATTTCCTGGTTCATGGGTTCAGGCCCCACGTTGGGATTCTCTCTCTGCTGCTCCTTTGCTTGCACGTGTGCACACATGCTTGCTCTCTCTCTCTCTTTCTCTTAAAATAAATAAACCTATTTTTAAAAGTTAAAAAAAATTTAAAAAGGGGAATCTGGAGCATCTGGTATGTGGGTGGTGGGGTTTGGCAAAGGGCCTTCCTTTATTTTTTTATTTGTCCATCAAGCAAACCACCATCTGATACAAGGTCAAATGATTTCAATCACTAGACAGCCAGTCTTCTTCCTTCCACAAAATGTGTAGAGAAGGGTAGGAAACAGTAATCCTAGTCTGTGGAGTACAGCAAGCTTATGGGAGTTAGAAATCTTTTTTGGTTTCTCATGGATACTTCTCTTTCAGGTCAGCATGATACTCCTCCTTGAGCTTAGATTCTGTCTTTTATCCTGAGGATGCTGAGGGCAGCACATAGAAATGTAGGAATCCTTCCATATGTTCCCAGCTGGAGGTCCTGGCAACTCTCCTTATGAATTTCTCTGGTATATGTCATTAGAATATCTCCAAATGCCAGAAGCCAGTAGGCTTCATCAAATAGGAATCCCTTACTCATTTTCCCTATGGTCAGCTTTTTTGGGGCTTTTCCCCACTGTTTCTTTTCTTTGGGGGTAGCTCATGAATGTATGCAGAATTGATATTAGTCTTATTTGGGGATTATTTATTAGATAAAGATCTTTTAAAAGTTGTAGCTTTGGTATTTGGCTGCCTTTCGGAAAATGTCTCAAGCGTCTTTGGTAATCTACCTGTCTTTGTTTGAGCTGTGGTTCTGTGATGTTAGTAATGTGATTGCCTAGTCTGTTTTACAAACCTTACTCTCATTACTGTAAGAATGAGTTGAAAGTTTAGGAATAATAGCCCTAGACTAGCATTTCCCAAACTCTTCCATGTATAGGTGTTCTCTGGGGAAATAACAACAGGGGGAGGTGGTTCTGAATGGACACATACATTTGGAAAATGTATTTGTATCAGACAAATGTGTTTTTTTACTGTAGACCTTCTCAGAGACCTTAATACGCTAGTGTGCATTATGACTCTCTGATACAACTGTCTGTTACGTCTAATGGATACAACATACAGTGTTAAACTTTTCGACCATAAATCCCCTCCCCCTACCTCATACACACTACCTACTTTCATACTGCAGAACTGGTATCTTGTATATACAGCTAAGAAAGTGCTAGCCTAAGTATGTTTGGTTTTCTTTTATTGTCATAGGTCATCTCACTGAGGGAGAATCATACAGGAAACAATTTCTTGACCTATGTCTTCTTTCTGCACCTTTACACTCATTTTTCATTACCCAGCTGAATGACATTTTCTTTGAAAACCAGTGTAGATCTAGTAGTTTTTATTTCAACTGAAACTAATCTCATGTGTGACTTGGACCACATTTTACTTCTCCATCTTGTTCCTTTTTCCTTCCCCAAAGAAACTCAGTAACTAACTTACTTCCTGACCTCACATTCTTGGCCTTTCTTTGATAAGTTAAAATATACTAAGCCCTCATTATTTTTGGCATAATGTGATCATTTAGTGTCTTTAAAAAAAAGTTTTATTAGAGGTTGTTTAAAATCAGGTACACTATACTCTAAGTGATTTTTTTAAAATATGTGCTTAAAATGCTTTGCCCTGAGCTAAGAACTCGTCTTCCTTTTATCTTCTAAGAGTAGTATGGCTGGCATGGCCAATTTGTGCCAGAAGAAAATCCCACTAGACCCTCAGCCCTCTGAGTAATGGCAGGGAATCAACCTAGACAAGACAAGAATGATGTAGCAAAGGCTGTGGGCTCAACTCAGGAGAGAAAGGTAGATGAGAGCCATCTAGTTACAGCTTCTCCTGTATTCCCCTGGAAGGAGCCCATGCAGTTTGCCAGCACTTTATCTGCCAGCAGCAGATGTAAGCTCTCAAAAACAGCAGGGAGGATGTTGACTGCAACAATGCATCAAGGCTGTGGTTTGTAACCTCAATAGTAAGGCAGTTAAAACTTTTTTTTTTTTTTTTTTAACAAAGACATTTTGATTGCCAAATCCATAACCATTAGCAGCTGTGGTTTGAACAGTTCTCTAGACCTAACAAGTTTTCAAACAGAAAGTTGAGTTGGTGGCTTTTGTTTCTACTTGTCTATGTTGTGTTTGGGCTATTTATATCTCTGCCTTCAATAGAAAATCTGATTTGTCTGAAATCTCCAAGGTCATTGATTATTCCATTTCTTCTGACTAAATCCATTCCTCTCCTGCCAGTTTACTGACCCTTCAGTCCGTTTGATCTTAAGGCTTTTATAATAGCCAAGACCCTATCTTTAAAGAGTTTTGCTGAAGCAGTTCTGCTGGGTGCCTATATAACTGACATTAGCAATAGAATTGAAGTCTTCATTGGGGTAGAGAGTATTATTTTGTCCTTCTCCTATAAGGGTATCCAAGCAATACAGATCATCAGGAAGGTTTGCAAAAATCATGTGTGGAAATCATCAGCTTCTATCATCAATCAATGGATTGTCTGTAGGTCTGAGAGGTGAGAAATTAGAGAATGAAGGAAGTAATAGTTAGTATTCAACCCAGATAACAGCCTTGAAAAATGCAGTATCCCCAAATTTTCTTTTTCTTTTTTTCTTTTTCTTTTTTTTTTAAAGTAAGTTCTGTGCCCAGCATGGGGCTTGAACTCACAACCCCAAGATCAAAAGTCACATTCTTTACTGGCTGAGCCAGCCAGGCACCCCCACAAACTCTTTCTTTCTTTCTTTCTTTCTTTCTTTCTTTCTTTCTTTCTTTCTTTCTATGTATGTATGTATGTATGTATGTATGTATGTATGTATGTTTATTCATTATTGAGAGACAGACACAGAGCTCGAGCATGGGAGGGGCACAGAGAAGGGGAGACAAAGAATCCAAAGCAGGCTCCAGGCTCCGAGCTGCCAGCACAGAGCTCGATGCGGGGCTTGAACTCACAAACGGCAAGATCATGACCTGAGCCGAAGTTGGACACCCAACCGAGTGAGCCACCCAGGTGCCCCTACTTTCTTTTAAAATATGTGAAAATGTCCTCTGTCATACTGAGAAAACCTGCATATTTATAGACCTAAAATGTGG